TTCAGTTCTTCAAAAAAAAATGAAATACATTTTTGTCTTCCCAGTATTATGTTTTATAATTTTCCTCTCTCAATCTCTAAATCCAAATGTGTGCCTGGTAATACATTTAACCAATACCTTATGCACTGGTGAACAGGATTCATTCATAGACAAATTCTGTCTTATGAGAAAAATGCCATAAGAACAGACACTGAAATAAATGACTTCGAGAGGAAAAAAATGCTTGAAGATCCTTGCTTTCTTATCAAAAATGTAATGGAAAAGAATAATAAAATTATGAAATTTTCCAGTAAATGGACAGGACTGGAGTCTCTGCTAAATGAAATAAGCCAGTCCCCCCAAACCAAAGACCAAATGTTCTTTCTAATATGTGGATGCTGACTCACAATAAGTGGGAAGAAGAGTCATTGGATTAGACAAAGGGGAATGAAAGGGAGATGGAAAACAATAGGAAAGACAGTAGAATGAATTGGACATGACTTTCCTATGTTCATATATGAGTACATCACAGTGAATCTCAAAATCATGTACAACCATAAAAATGGGATTCTAATTAGAATGTTATACTCCATGTATGTATGTCATAATGTACTTTACTGTCATGTATATCTAAAAGGAACAAACTTAAAAAAAATTTAATGTAATGGAAAGTGTCCAATGTCAGTAATAGCATTCACATCTCATCATCTAACACATTTGCTTATTGATCTTCTTACTCCATAAGCATTTAATAAGCGCCTGCTATGTCACAGCCACTGAACTCAGCACTAGTTATTTGACAGTGAAAGAGTAGGAACTGATTCTATCTTTGCAGAGCCATATTGGTGGAAAGACAAATGTTAAACACCTACATACCAACACATAACAGTGATGGTGGTATTGTGAAGAATAACTCAGTATTCAAGGTGGGGGAGGGATAATTTAGATGGGTGGAAGTTTGAGAATATAAAATTTAAGATAAGTTTTGATGATTTTACTCAACAAATAGTAAAGGTAGACAAGTTGGAAATGTCTTGGGAGAGAGTTGAGCATGTGAAAAGTCCTTGGGGCAGGAAGGAGCTCAGATCACTTGAAGGATTGGAAGAAGGCCATTATGGCTAAAGTACAACGGAGCAGGGCATCAATGGGGGTAAAGATAGGCAAAATATAAATTAGGCAGCTAAGTGAAGGTCCTATGAGGATTTGCGTAGAAAATCAATGGACAGCTATGGAGGACCTTCATGCTGACATATGGCAAAACTTGACGTACATTTAAAACTTGATGTACAGTGACTCTTTCTGCCTTTGTTCAAATATTTGCTTTCAGCTCATGAGGTTTATCCTGCACCTTTACATAAATTTTCCGAGAGGAATCCCCATTTTTTTTCCAGATGGGATTCCCAGTCCTTTGTCTGGCAAGAGTGTGCCTCTTCTCCATGTTCTAGTGGGGCCCTGGTTTGGTTCCTCTTTTCCTACTCAGCTCTAGCCTGAAGCCCCTGGCTTCCCTTCTGCCACCTCAGGCACCAGTTCTGACCTCCAGTCAGTGCTACTTATTTGATTGACATGGTACCATCTTACCTTCCAGAGCCCCATCTTGGACTCCACCAGCTGCTCAGCCTCATAGGCTTATCTGAATTATTTGTGATATTTTACAAATGTTTCATGCAAGATGAAGCTACTTCTGACCTTTTCTGATGTAAATCACAAACACATAGAAAATTACAAACACAAAAGGACAAATCATTCTGTAGGGTAATATAAAGTGAATCAAAATCCTAATATATAACAAAAATAACAACAAAAATATTTATCTTTTTGATAGATAAGTCTCATATTTTCAGTGTACTAGATTATCCTCTTTTTCCCCATCAGCCCTAATGTTCTAGAGATTCATAAATGGTAATTAAAGTTTCAAATATATAATTGATGTGCTTCATATCATAGCAGAACTCCAACAATTTATTCACAACTCTCTAATTAGTTAATTAATCTAACAGTTTATTCATGGGACTGATTTAACTTGTGGCATTATCTGATATTTCACATAGCTCACTAAAATTTTTCCAAACTCTGTAATAACTACTGCTTAATTTTGTGCTCCATTAAACAATACTGTGAGTGTAGAAATGTTACATTAAATATAGGAAATTCAATAATTTCTCTTTAAAGCAATGAGTTCTACCACTTTTTCCTTCTTAGACATTTATCATACATGTCATAGAAGTGATAACATGGTTTCACTTACATAAGGATATTTTTTAAAAAATTTTAAAAGAATGATTGCTAGAAGATGAGGAAGAAAACACTGTCAGAGATAGTTAACTATATAATCTAAAACTCAACATTAAAAAAAGACTCTTCCTGCAGGTAGGATGTTGTTCAATGCTAGAGCACATGCTTCTTGTGCAGGTGGTCCTGGGTTCAATCTCCAGCACCAAACAAACAAAACAAAAACGCTCTTATACTATGTTCAAAGCTGTTCATTGAAAGTTATCAGACTGTTAGTTCTCTCTCCTGACTTTTGTATTTTTTTTTTAAATACAAACCTCTTAAGAAATAAAGCCTATTGCTATAGATGGTAAAACTTTAGTGTGTATGTGATTTCTCTCCCTTTTAAGCTCATGTGAAGTCCTGACTTACAGTAAATGAAGTGGGTAGCATGATTTTCAAACTCACTTAATCCATTTGATTATTACTCCAGCAAATTGAGCCAATATGTATTAATGCTAGATTAAGAACTAACATAACAAATCAGTCAAGATTCCAGTATTCAGCATCTGACAGTTCTCATGGTAGAAACAGTATAGCTAAAAAGCTACTATAGGCAACAATAATTATATTAATAACAATAAACTTTTGGTGGGGGGGTTATTGTTGCTGTGGACTTAAGCCAGGGCTTCATGGCTAGTAAGCATGCATTTTCCCACTGACCTATGCCTCTGGTCCGTAGACTTCTTACTCAGTATGACTGAACAATTTAACCATTTAAAATTGTAATGTATACAGGTTTAATAGGTACATATGGTCAGAAACAAAGATATGATATATATGATAATATATCACATATGTGATATATGATATATATAGATATATGACATATATATCTATATATATGTTATATACATATCTTAATGTTAGTCATAGTCAAAGGAAGAAATCCCACAAAACTTTTATCATCATTTTAGGGACAACATGGATTTCTTGGAAATGCTTTCTGGTTATTTAAGTATTTTGTTTTATCATTTATCTAAGATACATTTGTGAATGATTATTATTATAGATTTTAGCTGAGAAATATTGCTGTGCTATATTACAAATCAAATTACATGTATCAGGACTTTCAGAAGAAGCCTTGTGAAATTTTGGATGATCATTTTATTTTATACATTTTAAATATAAAATAATAGAATTGAAAATATTGTCACCCACATGAAGATTACAGAATGCAATGGAGAGGGGGAAAGTTGTATAAATGTTCAGACAGATTTATGATTTTTACTATCCAATCTTTTTCCTTTAGGGCAAAGATAAGAATAGAGAAGAAAATAATAGCCAGCAACCTCTGAAACATGCTATTATTTGATGATTTCTTAGCGTAAAGCAGAAAGGCAAATGAGAACGAAGAGAAAAAAACATCTTAGAGTCACTCTGTAGATTATACCCAAAGCTCTAAACCCTCACTTGGTGCTCTGTCAAATGACTTATGCCTTCTGAACACCTAGAAAGTCTGACAATGTCATTACTGGAGAGGCTGCACTGTGCAGTGGATGGCTCGTCTGTGCCACTTAAAGTTGCGTAATCCTGGCAAGATACGAAACTTCTTTGGGCCTTCATTTTCTCAGCAATAAACTGATGTTAAAATTACCTAAGAGGCTCTACTGTCATGTTTATCTAAAGAGAATGAATAAAAAAGTTACCTAAGAGGGCAATTGTAAGAATTCGTGAGTTAACATGATGCTTTGTACACTGCGTGACACATTGTAAGTGCTCAACAAGGATTAGATATTATAAAGTATTATAAGGTTAAACTCCAAAGTGGAAATTTCCTTTTAAAATCAAGTCAGATTATAGCAGAAGAAAAAAAATAGCTCATAAATACATGTGAAAAATACTAAAGGCATTCATGTTAATATGACCTAACATTTTTTAAAAATTAGCTAATTTATTTATTAATAAAAATATTAAATGATTTGGGCTTGTGGGCACTTTCATAGCCTTAGGTACACAACCATTTGGGATGACAATTTGTCATGTCATCCTAATAAAATTTTAAATGTTGACATTTTTTGACCCTGAAATTTTACTTGTAAGAATTTTTTTAATAGAAATACCCTAAAATATGTAAATATTTTTATAAAATAACTCATTTTGCTGCTGTTATTTTAAACAGGAAAAAAATGCTTCTGATCTGAAGGTGTTCTTGATTTAATATAATGTGAAAACAAATTAGTTTATTTATAAATATTACATGATTTCACTTTTGTGAGAAAAACGTATTTCTATATGTGTTTGCAAAGGGAAAAGTGTATATGTTTAAACACACACACACACACACACACACACAAGTTGAAAAGATGTGCAAAGAAATGTGGCCTGCAAACTCATATCTAGCTGTGATGTGCAGCATCTCTATTTATTCAGAAAATGTTCCTAATCTATGCCATGCATTTTGTTAGACCTCAATTAATAATAGAGAACCAAAATGAAGACTTCAAGGGAAACCATTTTCTGTAAAAGATATTTGCTGAATGTATTTATGGCATACAGAAAAACCGTGATCTCAGAATCTAAGGAAACACAAACAAATAGAAAAGATGAAATTTTTAGGTTAAAGAGATTTGACTGTTAAGGAAAGTAAATATCATAATGTTTTAAAATATCTTGCTTCGATAATTTAAAAAAAATAATCCAGGAAAAAAGTTCTGTATGTACATTAGTTGCAAATCTACTGATGCCTAGTTTTTTTGTTTTGTTTTTTTCCTTTCTTTAAAAAACTGTGATTATCTTGTTTGTCTCCACAGAGTTACTGGAGGTGAACTATTTGAAGACATAGTGGCAAGAGAATATTACAGTGAAGCTGATGCCAGGTAAGTGACTTGCCCTAGGCAAGATATAAGAATCATCATTCAAATGACTCTTGTTTGATATATATTTATATGTATATATTTAAATGCACCTTGACACTTCACGTTTATGAGAATTTCATAATAGCATCTCAGGCTTCTTTTCCTGATAAGTCCTTCTTAATAGAAGTTTATCTCTTCTAAGGATCTCTAGAATGATTCTTAGAAAACAAATCTATGGATCTGGTCTGAATTTTATTTTGATCATTTCTCAGCTGGGCTTGCTCTATTCCAAGGGCTTAATAGCCACAAATGGCTAGTGGCTACCAAGTGGACAGAGAGGTCCAGAGCATTTGCATCATCACAGAAAGTTCTGCTTAGCAGAGCACATCAAATTAGAAAGCAGTAACAGACCCATTTGCCCCAGCGGCCTCATTAAAGGGTTTTTATTGGCTTCTTAACTCTTTGGAAGTTTCATTAAAACCCTTGGAACTCTGACATGAAAAATATTTATTCGGGTATTTCAGAGGATTCAAGAATAATTTCCCAATCTTGTTAATTGGTGATCTCTTTATAGACCTTTTTTAAAGGGCTAACATTTTGTCTATTTTGGAACTTCCTAGGTTTCCCAAAACAACTTCTTTTTGGAGTGACATAGCAGAAATGCACTTGCTTGCCTATTACTTAGATGGCTTGGTGTCAATTTCCTTAGCGTTCCTTATATATTCTGGAGTAGTCTCTTATTTTGAAAAACTGATGAAGAGCAATTAGCTCATTAGCAATGTAAATGAGATGTTATGAAAATTCAGTTGTGGCCTTTCTGCCCCCATTCTCTATTGCTCTCAGAACTTCCCATTGCCACGCATCTGTAGCAGGACCTTCTGCAGATATTCTGCTGACAGTGGAGGTTCCCCATCCCTCCCGAGTAGCACATGCACACATGAGCTCATTTCCAAATTTCAGATTTTACTTGGTTTAAAGCTACTGTTTATGGCATTCTGTGATTCTATCTGTACATAACATTCTAATTTTTTAATGGAATTTTTACTGCCAATGTCAAATAGAAAGTTCTGTGTCACCTGTGTCATGAAGAGTGAATCATTAGTTATTTAGTGTACCTCAAATCTTCATTAAACCCAGAAAAGGGGTCTCTGAGCGTCTATGGTAACCATTTGCCCATTTTCCAGGAGAGAGTAATAATTTTAATCAAGGTAGTAAACAAGTTAGGGAATATAATTTGTCTCTCAAAGTTATGTTAAATGTGCTGATTTATTTGAACAATATTGACTCAAATAAAGATAGAGACTATAGTGACTGTTGAAGAGTCCTATATAGACAATAGGTCAGAAGCTGTGAGTTGTATTATTTAATATGCATGCTTACATTAAGTTTGAAAATTAACAATAGGATATTTTTAGGATAGGTCCTACATAAAAATGAAGGAGAAGCATTCTCTTCCAGTTACAAGAACAAAGGGGTATATTCCTTAAAACATTTGTAAAAATCTGTTTTCTTAGTAGCTCTAAAGAATTTTAGAACTGAGAAACAAGGAATGTGGCTCAGTGGTGGAACACTGGTCTAGAATGTACAAAGCCCTGGTTTTGAACACCACAAAAAAACAAAAATTAAAATGAAAAAAAAAATTAAGAGTTGAATCTATCCTCGCTAGTCAAAAATTGTAAAGGTGAATAATGTTTACTTTTTTATTTTCTATTATTCCCTAGGCCCAATAATTTATACTTATGTTTTGAGAAAAGAAAGAAAAAAAGAAAAAAGGAAAGGAAAAAAGGGGGGATATGAAGTGAATATCATGATAGAAGAAAAAAGACTCACTTGATTTAAAAATAATGAATAATACTCACATAAGCTTCATAGTCAATGACCACCAATGTGAGATTCTTTCACTATTACTGTTGATAGAACTTGAGCTACAAAATCACAATCATCAATTTTTTATGTCTATACTATAATAAATCTGATTACTTTTTAAATTCATCAATTTCTTTTAGAGTAGAATTATTTTGTCCATTAAATGATTGAAAATGTCCTTATCAAATAATTCACTCCACCCTTAAATGAATGTAGTTCTGTTCATACTGGCACTTGAATTGCACAGTGAACTTTTACAAAATTCATCTGTGTGATATGTTCTGCATTATTGCGTGTCAGATAACAGCTCATGGGACCTTATGAGTGGCAGTCAAATGATTTCTCCTATTTTAATTAGCAGTCTACTTGTCATTAGTGAGCTTTTATTGAGAATAGCATAAAAGTTGCATTTTGAGTAGTAATAAGCAAAAGCTTCCCTTCACTAAAGTGTATAGAAGTGGGTTTAACAATTACCAGTGCTCTAGGGGATTTAAATTTTTTATTGATGTATCTATGTGTTATTTATTTATTTGTGCAAGCTTCCCAGCCCTTCCCCGGGGTATTCTTATACTGAAGAGGGTTTATTTTATGTCATGAGTCTACTTTAAATTCTCCCTCTGTTATTGGAGACTTGCATTAGTTTTCCTATTGACATATTATACAGGAAACACCACTTCTGAGTCAAAATGGTAAATGTGTCCCTTTTTTTTTTTTAATCCTCGTTTCACCTGCCACTTCATCTGTGTTTACCCTCTTGTTTCAACACCTATGTTTAATTGTGACCTCAGATTTTAAACAGTTTAGATGTGTATGAGAAAAACCTAGAAATTTTATCTCTCTGGAGAATTTTCCCAGAACATTTTTGGTAATTATTTATAAATTTTTCTTCCTAAATATGGAAATTTCAAGTTTTGCATTGGATGATTTAATTTGTAGACTTAATAATGAAAAAACACAGCTCAAATTGTTTTGTCTGAACCTGTCACAAATTCTATGTTGGATGTCATTTTTGTTAGAACCAAAATTAGCTTTATTCAACATTATTTAATTCTGATGTAAAGCTAAAAACAAAGTGAAGAACTACAATTTTTGTTTGTTTGTTTGTTTCGTTTGAATTTTCATTTTATTTTGTATTCAATGTGATTATGTGCCTTTAAAATGTTCTCCCTTCCATTCTGCCCTTGTATCTTTGCAGTCATTGTATACAGCAGATTCTAGAAAGTGTAAATCATTGTCACCTAAATGGCATAGTTCACAGGGACCTGAAGGTCAGTATATGGAGTCCATAAATCTGAATCAAAGGAGATTCGTTGTTGTTTGTTGTTGTTGTTTTCTTGGGAAAGGGCAGGGTGGGTGGTTATTTAATATGGTTCCTTTGCCTTTCCCACTTTCTCCTGAAATGAGTAAATGATGAAATGATAATGCATGATGGCTCTTTCAGTTTGCTCATCTACAGGCTAAATATACATCATAGCAAAAAGGGAAGGACACTATGAAGAATACCACCTGTTATGTTTCCAAGCAATAAACCACCAGAGGCAGTTTGGGGGCAGGCTTTCCTCAATTGTCCCGCATTAACCTGGAGATAAACTCGGCCTGTGATGTATGTCCGCCTGTAGATTTAAACACCACTTCTGTTCTGAGACCATGGGTTGCTGTAGCAGAACAACTGGTTACACATTGCTCCATTTGAGTCTGACGAACCCTTAGGCAAGAGATAATAATTGCCAGCTAAATTAAAGCACAAAAAGTTAATGATTTATCAAAAATTCATTACGTATCCTAATTTAACCTTAATGGTGTCTTGCCTGCTAATGTAACAGCTTTTAAAATGATACCAGAAAAAAATGGGAGAGAATAGGGAAACAGTTTTTGTGCATGGGGTGAAGACTTTGTACAATAACTATAGAGATTATATTTGTGTTCCAGTTCATTTCCTGGAAGAATTTATAGCCAGGAAATGAGCTCCTGAACCAAATGAAATATTGTCAAAATGGGTTTTTCTAGAACAGGTTGATCCACACTTGGGCTTATATCTGGCAAGATTCCGATTGTTCTGAGGTAGTAGTCACTCTACTTGAGCAATATGTTTACATGACTGAAGGAGGTAAAATACAACTCCAGTTGTCTGCTAGCTCTGCACTTTAACCCAGTCTCTCTGAGGGTATACAGACAGTGAGTGTAAGCTTGGAACTAACACACGCCCCCTGGTGTTTGCATGCAGTCATTGCATTCAGCAGATCCTGGAGGCTGTGCTACACTGCCATCAGATGGGCGTAGTCCATCGGGACCTGAAGGTGAGTAATGCCTTTGGAGAAGATTAAACCACCACATAGTTCCTAATGACTGTTCAGCTGCAATTATGCTTGTAAAGGCAAAAATATAAGCAATAAAGTTGTTGCTTACTGTATGGGATCCATCCAAAACTTTCCCTCACCAGGCACTTTCTCTCACCACAATCTCTTATCTCTAATACACACTTGAGACATATAAATTTGTATTTATTCAGAGAGAAATAATTTCCTAACATTAACAATAAATAGATTTCTATATTCCCTTACTCCTAGGAATAGATATAGCATTCAATGTGACTGTCAGTAGGGCTAATGATCTCTTCTTCATTTTAAAATTGTTCTGTGGACATTGATCGAACATGTTATTTAATATTTACATTATATGACTAACATTTTGTAAAGAATTCTCAAAATTAGGGCTGGGTTTGTGGCTCAGTGGTAGAGCACTTGCCTAGCATGCATGAGGCCCTAGGTTCTATCCCCAACACCACATAAAAAAACTAAAACAAAATAAAGGTATTATGTCTATCTACAACTAAAAATATTTTTTAAAAAGAATTATCAAAATTGTAAGTGTTATTGCATAGACTTTTGGCCCAAATGTTTGGGTGCCATTATGAACTCTGATATTCTCTTTCCCCTACCATTAGTTCTGGGAATTCTGAGGACATTTGAGAGCTTCTTGGTTTTAAATGTATTTGTATTCCTGGGGTCCAAGATATTCTTGTCTTCTAAAAATACAGATGGGAAAATACATAGAATTTCAGGTAATGTGCATATAACATATAAGTTATATTCTTATATCACTGACCTCACTCAGTGTCTACTACCATTGAGGACAAGATAGTTTTAGATCATTTAGAAATAAAGTAGTTCAAAAAGATACTCCTCTTTCATTAATTTTCTGTTCTGTTCTTTCAACATTTTAGCTTTACTTGTGGTATTTCAGAAAAATAGTGAAAGCCCAGAAATTTAAATGAAAGAAAACTACAGGGTAGGGGAAATAGCTAATGTACTATATCGTACCACATATTTTCAATTCATTGTCTACAACTTCAGTGTTTTCTAGGCTTTAGTACAAAAGTGGCAAATTTAGAATGTCTAACACTGTAGGTGTTCAGTGGAAGGAGTTACATTGTTTTCTTTGTGTAGATTTCCCTAGCTATAATCAATTGTAAATATGTAGTTTCCATTCATTTAATGATCTAGGAGAATATACTTCTAAATATCAACAGTTGGTTACATGAAGATGTGATTTGTATGCAAAACACTGACTTAAGTTTCTTGGAATCATTTGATTTTAGTTGATTCTGAGAGTTTTAACTACCAAAGGCAAGGCAAGTCTAAAGGTATTTTTGTTGAGTCAAGATAGGACTTTATACTAAATGTACCCATTATGATCAAGGAAAAACAGTGTGTTCCTTTGAAAATTCATATCTTCGGCAGTCACCCCAAAATTTTTCACTAGCCATGTACAGCAGACATAACTCATTTTTGTTCCATCTCAGAACTTTCCTTTTTACCGAATACATATGGACATGCACAATATTTGTGCTATTTTATCAAATACTCTATTTTATAAATCTATTACTTGAAACATTTTATTCCATTTTATGTAAACCGAAATATACTGTAAAAGTTAAGCATAAGCAGGGCACAGTGGGCACACACACCCATAATCCCAGTTACTCAGGAGGCGGAGGCAGGGAGACAGAAAGTTTGAGGCTTATTCTACATTATTTTGTGAGACCCTGCCTCAAAATAAAATTTTAAAAAGGGCTGGAGGTGTAGCTCAGTGGTAGAACACATGCTTAGCTTGTGCTAGGCCCAGTAATGCCAAGAATGAAAAAAAAAAAAGACAACTGTGAAAAGTGTGAATTCTCTTTTATAACTTTTAAGTTATATTTTGTGGGAGTCACAATATGGTTAAGGTCCTGTGATAAGGTCCTCCCTTCAAAGACTGGAACTTTAATCAGAGATGGCACTAAACCTGGGACATAGGCTGTGAAGAAAAATATATTTTCTGACATAAGAACTAAAGTCAAAAATTTAAAACTTAGGCAAGTGATTTCTAGAGAGGCCTACTACCAAAGTATTACTACCACAGTAATAGCCTGCTATGTAATCCATCAGATTTCTCTCAAAGTGGAAGAGAATTTTTGTTCTCCATTCTCCTTCTAATCTTGGGAAAGGACAGAGATGAAATTATGAGATGTTATGACTTCTGTAATTATTGTCCTAGTTTTGTCAAGTTGATGACTTAGGTGGACCACCACTGAGTCTGATTCTTGGTGCTTGTTTCAGTGGAGCATTTTGTAATCATACTAAGAGGATCAGAGCATGTGCATTATTAGAAGCAGCATATGCCCACCTTGAGTGTTCTGAATCCCGGCTTTGTTTTATGCCTTTTACCAAGACAGATATTCTGTATGATGAATATTCTGCTTGTAATTGTATATTTACCAATACAGTAAAATAGAGAAAAGAGTTGAACTGCTGAAGTTTATTACCAGGCTTTAAATAAAAAGAGGCCTGTAGTATTCCTCTGCCATATTTTTTTTTTCATTTCTTTATCCCAACTCATATGCTAGTTTGTACTCAGTTAAAATGTGTAATGCACATTGGTTCATATCAGAGAGAGAGAAAGACATAGGAAATCTTGTGTTTTTTATCATTATCAAATGCATCTATGGCATTTGTCTTTATGCCTCTCATTGGAAATATAGCTGTTCCACCATACCCATCATAAGACCTTAACCTAGCAAATACTTGGAACATATTCTTTTAATTTTGGAATGAATGAAATTCAACCAAAAATACAAATGTATGTGAATTATATATTCATGATATAAATATTTATAATATAAAAGGCAATCTTAACAGATTATTGAGCTTGTTAATATTTGGATAACATAAGGATGAGAATATCTTCAGACTGAAGAATCCCAGTAGAACATTTAGTTAACTGCCACCCTGTGGAATCCACCAGTTCGGAAGCATAGAACCAAGATTGAGGCAACTGGAGGATGTCCCAGAGACAAGTAATAGGAAAAGTTCCAGAATGATAGAATATTAGCATAAAGAAGTACACCAGACAGCACCAAGCAGTACCCTGATGGATTGCAGTCTATCATCTGAGATGCAGCCAGTGGAGGCCAGTTGATGTGGACCCAGCTTGTATTGGAGACATCTAGCACTGATGAAAAATTATACTATTATAGCTGAAGGATAGGACTGGACTCTTTGGGAAGGTCTGGATCAAGGCAGGACCTTAGCAACCCTATGCTGTATAATGTGAATCTTCACAACAGCTTTACACGAAAGGTACAGTGATTATCTCCGTGTTTACTTCGGGAAAATCTGGTAACCATAAGTGAAATAACTTATTCAAATTCACTCAGTAAGATGTGATTATGCCCTAGCAATTTTGTTCCAAGTCTACATAGTTAATTACTACCACCTCTCAATTCAGTTAAATGAATTGAAACTTTTACAGAGATCAAAGAGTAGATCAAAATAATACTGGACAAATAATTTTATTACTAGCTTTATGAACTATTTGGGAAATGGTTAATAAATCAAAAGGCTTTAATAGTCATGCCTATTAATCTTCCAGAAATAACAAAATTTTTATCATTAAGAACAAAGAAAATAAGGCATATTTAACTTATAATGTGGAATAGAGGCAACATAATTTGACAATAGACTAGTGTATAAAGTAAAGGTTTCCTACTTAGAAAATTAATAAGTTGACATGGCCAACAGACTTTGTAAAATGAGATGTAGTTAAAATGTTTTGTTTGTTTGTTTGTTTGTTTGTAGTGCTGGGATGGAATTCAGGGCATCATGCATGTTAGGCCAGCCCTCTGCCACTGGGCCACATCCCTAGTTGGAGACATAAAAAAGAAAAAATATGCATTTGCCACATTTGATCTAGACCATATGAAGACAATCAGTTTGGGGGGAGTAAGTAT